CTGAAAGGTCCTACGTGGTGACGGACTGCAGCCCACATATGGGCTGCATGGGCTCCAAAGTGTAAGACATCGCAAACGCTCACCTATCCGAAAAGCTAGCCACCTCAATTACTTGTCTCTTTCACCAAATAAGATCCAGTTTCTACATAATCCCCTTCGTCTCTTTTAGTGTGACTGACTTTCAAACGCTAGACGAGATGGAGGATCAAAGAGAAAATAGCCGAGGGCACGCTTCCTCGATCCATATGCAAGGCAATTCACTCCGCCCAGGTTTCCCTTTTTATTTTGAGAAGGTTCCCACGCCAATCGCCCCATGATTGGCAATCTGAATGTAAAGGAATCAGGGTAGATTCCGAGACGAATGCGAATGCCAAACCAATTCCTGGTGCTATAAGGTGACAGCACTGAGGTATCCCCATAGATTTGTGAGGGTTTAAAACTATGAAATATCAATCCCGAATGCCCTGAGCATCGACCATCGAGCATATTAAGCGGATGACCCACAGTGAACACTTTGTGGCGCAATGTGGCTCGGGGGGGGGGCACCTCGCAACATCGCGTCAAAATCACGGAAACGCTCCGTTTTAGGACTAAGCTTTTGAAGAGGAGAGGAACTCCGGTGTACGGAAGCAATTTTCGTATTCTCCGGAGTTCGTCCCTGCTGTTTAGCCCCGAACCACATTGCGCCCACTTTGTTCCACCTTGAGAAACATCAGTAATCACATGAAGATTGGACACATTTGTATACAAGTCTAAATGAGTACCAAACCTTGATAATGGTTATTGCATACTAAACCAAAAAAAAAACAGTGTGACTCATGGATCCCCACACGAAAAAATTGGCGCAATTTAAAGGGCCGCCATGAATGAATCGGCGCTGGTCTCAGCGTAACTCGTTACCGTACGAACCACTGGCGCAAATCCATAATTTGTTTTCTTGGCCTATGCCTCATGTTTCTTTCGTCACCTTTGTTTAAGCAATCTGCTCTTGCTAGAGGAAAGTCGGTCTATCCAAAAGTCACTGTGTTTTCTGAGGTTATCCCTCTTGCTTCAAAAAATATCAGTAATTCGAAAAGAGGACGCCCAGCAGGTTCGGCGGTTTGTTGTTTATTTCACATGTATTGATATTGGTTCTAAAAGTTTGCTTCGCCCTTTACCATTAATTTTGGTATATTTAGCGTCCTCCTGTACGCAGGAGCTGCAAGCCCTCTTCAGTTGTTTGAAGAAATGGGAATTTGACGACAAGCCTTGTGAAAAGCAACATTCCGCTTACATGGACTGTGTTCACGAGGCAGAACGCCTTACTCAAGAATACAAAGAGGCAGCAACGAAGGTATTTCACTTTTCTACCTATACATACTACTTCGTATTCTCTCCCGCGGTTATATCTCACACATCCTGCGTTACTGTCATCTATAGAATTTCTTTTATTATTCAGCATAGCAACTTACTAGAAAGCACTGGATGGTAGGGTAGTATCTGGAAGGACACAGCACAATTTGTTGTAGTTCTGTATATTCCCCAAATAAGCTTATACATCTGATTGGGTAAGCTGTGAGAGAAAGTCACTTCAAGACTCGGTCAGACTCGGCGATTGCGTCGCTGGACACCAGCGACGGAGCCGCCAGCGACGGAGCCGCCAGCGACGGAGCCGCCCGCCAGCGACGGAGCCGCCAGCGACGGAGCCGCCAGCGACGGAGCCGCCAGCGACGGAGCCGCCAGCGACGGAGCCGCCAGCGACGGAGCCGCCAGCGACGGAGCCGCCAGCGACGGAGCCGCCAGCGACGGAGCCGCCAGCCACAAGAGTGGGCAACGGGCGATGACTCATCACACGATCGATCGATCACACTACTAATTTGTATGAAATTTTGGAATGTGGCACTTCGCTCGGCGACATAATAACTAGTCTTTTACATAATTAAGCTTAAGGTAAATTAGCGATCAGGACCTCTAAGTCTTTTCATAGTTTTAAGACACAATGAGGAGTTTGAACTATATCAAAATACTTTTGTACGTATGAACTTCTAGAGTTTTTAACCACCATCCCTTTGAAATCCGAGTTAGCCTTCCAAACGTTCAATTCGTTTCCCAACAATGTGTACTATGAAAGCTCTCATCTGTAGCGTATATACTATTGT